CTGTCTTTGGTAGAGCTGAACAGTGACTGAGATGAACATGCAGTGAAGCCACTGCCAGAAGTCAGAAATACCCGTGAGCAGGAGTCATTTTCCTTCTGACATTTCATTCCCATTACCCCTTCCCTGGAGCACATGCGTGCGCAGCACTGGGGATGCTGCAAATATTCTTTGGAGGGTTTCTAAATACAACACTAATTCATGTAATCTCTTTTCTACCTTTTATTTTTCCCTGTTCTCCTTGAGAGGGTGTCTGATAACCTTCCCTTTCTCTGATGTGTCTGCTTGAGGTTTTGCTTGTAGAGCTGATGCCACTGACAGCTCAGATCAGCATCTCACCACATCAACCAGCTCTGTGCACTGCAACCACCAGGACAGAGACAACTCTTCCTCCGTGTACAAATGTGATGGCTCTTAGTGGAGGCTGGACCTGTGACCCTGTCCTCAGCAAGGAGGCAACTGAGAAAAGGAGTGTGACAGACAATGTGTGATGCTGAGAAACCCAGGGGAGATGAAAGCTTTCATCCTACCCTTCCAGTCGTTGAATTTAGGTGAGAAATGCCAATCATATGTGGGGAAAAAATTAGGACTATGGGTGCTTGAAAGTAATTTTCCATAGGTGGTATTTAAGAATCTCAACTTGCAAATCATTAATAATGATCTTTGAAAGGAGACCTATAAACTGTCTTCCAGTTCCTGATGAGGTGGAATAATTTATTCCTTCAATTTATCTGATTAATGTAAAATGTGTTTCAAAAATGGGTTTTCTTTAATATTTCAGCTTTCCCATGAGAGGAGCTGCAGAAGGGCACAGTGATTGAGTGCCCCCGAACTGCCATGGCATGTTCCCAAAGCAGGGGAAGCTCTGCCACCGGAGCCGATCAGCAATAAGAGCCATCAGGCACCAGCAAACCCAGCTTGGGTCCTGAGCCTGCTCTCCGCAAGGCATGAGCCTTGATGCCAGGCTCAAAGGAGTGGGCAGGGCCCACAGTTCTGCTCACTCATGCTAGGGAAGCTAGTTTCTTAACGTGTGAATTTAGAATTCTAAGTTGCTGAGAACATGTCCCCCAAAAAAGAGATGAAAAAAAGGCAAAAAGCTGGTGCTGTTCAGGGTAAATTGCATGGTAAGGCTTTTCTCTAAGAAATAGATTTATCTCAAACAGAATCCCAGACTGGTTTGGGTTGGAAGGGACCTTAAAGCTGATCCAGTTCCATCCCCCCTGCCACGGGCAGGGACACCTTCCACTAGAGCAGCTTGCTCCAAGCCCCTGTGTCCAACCTGGCCTTGAACACTGCCAGGGATGGGGCAGCCACAGCTTCTCTGGGCACCCTGTGCCAATGCCTCACCACAGTAAAGAATTACTTCCTAACATCTAATCTAAATCTCCCCTCTGTCAGATTAAAGCCATTCCTCCCCCTGTCCTGTCACTACGTGCCCTTGTAAAAAAAAATAGGCTTTCTGGTATTCCTTTATGTCATCTTTGCAGAGCCAAAGTCAGACAAAACCATGGTGTCTTTGTCTTAAACTGCGTAGGAAACTGAGCTCCAATATTTAGAGCAGCAATTTGCTGAGCTGGTAAAACATAACACGTTTTGTGTCCTCCATGGACCATGTTGAGACTACAGTAAACTGAAGGGTCCATCTGTGGTGGTCTTGGCTTGATCACTCAAGTTGTCCCTCTCTGATTCAGGAAGACATAGGATAAGGGTAATGCTAATACAGAAGGGTCTATATCCCAGTGAAAGCTAAGCAATGGTGTAGTGCATCAGTGGTGGAGTGCAGAGCCATTAAATACCTGCAGGGATAAAAATCAGAGTCCAGACGAGAGGTATTCTGTTTTAGAGAGAATTATTTATTAGAAGATAGGAGGCTGTTACGTACAGATTCTGTCCTGCAAAAGTGTCCTGGTCACAGATACGTCAGGGAGACATTTAAACCCATTAGAGCTGGCTCTGGTCTCCATGCAGAGATACTCAAGACACACCAGAGCTCTGCCAGACCTGGCTCTCCTGCTGCTACTCAGCTGGGGAGAGGCCTGGTGTACCACAGCATCCCTGAGCTCATTACACAGCCTTTATCCCACTGGAAAACCTGGCCTGTGGACTGGAAACCAATGGTGGGAACACCAGGCGGTGCTGCAGAAGGGGCATCGCTCTTCCCTGGAGTCACTTAGGGAGATTTTATTCCCCAAGTAGGGAATTGTCTTCCATTGTGCCAGCGATGTCGCAAGTGGCTACAGAGATACAGCCATGCTATGAGGTAGCATGAGGTAAATTAAAAGGGATGAAAAACAAGGAAAAGAAAAAAGAAAGATCTCTGGGATACAGAGAAGACCTCTTCCCACCCTCCTTCACCCCAAAACCAGGCCAAGCCCCTGCAGAGACCTCTGAGAAAGCAGCTCTGACAGGTCGGTCACAAAAAGTTGCCAGTTTTGCCTCATGATAGCTGTGCTCCTAGCTGTATTCCTCCCAATTTCACGGGTGACCTGTTTTCTTTTGGCTTGGCAGGTAGCATTTGTCAGCCTTCCATAGGCTCAGGGCTTTGCCCAGTGAAGCGCCGATGCAGCAGAGAGCTGCTGTGCTGGTTTTGCACCTCCCGAGCTGACTCCACGTCCACGGTATGGTGCATTCTGGAGACAGGATCAATGGCAGGGGAAAGGCATCGTAGAACCACAGAGGGGTTTGGGTTGGAAGGAACCCTAAAGCTCTCCCTCCTGCCATGGGCACGGACCCCTTCCATAGAGCAGGTTGCTCCAAGCCCCACCAGCCATCACACTGGCAATAGTGAAGGCCCTCACACCAAGCCTTCTGCACATGGTTAGTGGCTCATGGGCAGCATAGGGCTCAGTTTAACACCAGCCCTTCGACTGGTATGTCCTTACTCCACGTGTGTATCTTACTGTACTCTGTCACTGTGGCAGAGCAAAGTGGTTTGATCAGTAGCTGTAAGGATTTTTTTGCTGGACAACCATCATATGGAAATTTTCCCTATATCTAGCAGATTTCTTAAAGAAAGATATTATCCAGGAATCATATCTTTAACTGTATGGGTGCTGCTGGATAAATAAATACTCTAGAGTCTGGCTCCTTACTCTGGTCCTCTGCTGAAACCCCATTCTTGTCTACCCAAGGGTCTTTGCTGGCTGGGTCAGATTATCACCTCCCTTCACCATCTCTAAAGGCACATTTAACTCTATTTGTCCTTATTAAATCCCAGTCTATGGCTCCAGAGAGTACATGTAAAACCCTGGGCGTAATCCCTTTCTTTGCTCATAGCGTACAAGAGCTTTTATTTGCTGTCAGGACTCTTACCAGCAGTATTGTCCTTTCTGTCCAGAACAGTCTGAAAGAAGAACAGGTTTGGCAGGAATTTAACACAAGTGTCAGAACCAGCCAGTTGTGCCTCATCTATCACCAAATCTCTCTTCCCATCTCAGTCCAAGAGAGGGTTTGTTACCTGGTATGTTAGAAACCTCTGAAACTAGGGACTTGGCAGTGAATGCTCACAGCTGATGTCAATGTCAGCATGAAAGATGAGTCAAACTACGGCGCTCAGAAGGGACAATTTATGAGATGAGCACGCTTCTTTCACTGCAGATGACCTTCAAGGTTGTAGGGACTGGGGATGGGGAATAATCATAGGACTGCAGCTATAAAGCAGAAGCAGCAGTTAGCTCTAGCATAATAATTGCTCAACATTGAGCGAGCTCTGCCACAAATATGCCTATTTTTTAATGAGGTTTGATGTTCCTAAGGCACTTGGGCTCCTTTTTGGGAACATGCACCCCAGTAAGTTTGATGTTTGGGGTTGGGGGGGTTAAGAGGAAGGGCATACCACACTTAGCTGGAGGGAACAGATGCTCCATACTGAGTTGTCAAAACCTCTGGAGCACTCATGGCCACATCTTCAATTTATAAGGAATTCTGTGGCATTAGTTGTGCTCCCACCTTCTTCACCCTTTGGAAAGGGATGAGCTGAAGACCCCCAGACCCTGTGAAGGACAGTGAGATGGGGAGGACAGCAAGCAAGCCAGAGCTCTTCGCCTACTCTTTGCCACAAAAAAATACCCAGATCTGAGGGATTGATCTAACACATAATCTCCTTCCCTCCTTTCTCAGCCACAGCCTTAAAACAACCCAACACTGTCCTAGCTTGGTCTGAAGTCTAATTCCAGGTCAAGGGGAGGCACACAGAGCAGCCAGCAGAATACTTGGTTTTAATTCCAGGCTAACATTTATAGGTAGCTTTTTGTGTCTATTTCCATTATTCCCTTTCAGAGCTGGTTCTTCAGCCACCACAGTTTTCTCCTAGGATTTCTTAAAACACCTTCATGAATGAAGCTCAACTGTCAGAGCTGCCTGCATGCTGTAGGTGAGGAAAATCCTCACTGATGATTCTTCAGAGCAAAGGCAGGAGAGAGGGGTGTTTTCTCTCCAGGGCATGTACATAAAGGCAGAAGGCATGGGAGTCTTTTACCTCCAGACCAGATAAAGCTGGGCCATAAAGCGTACCTGCAGTGATGCCCAGCAAAGGCTGAGCATCCTCAAGGTGCCACATTGGCACAAGAGCTGCTTGACTTGCCACTTCCCTTTGGGCTCCCCTGTCCTGAGGGGTGCTGTGAGGTAGCACTACGTGGCTGCACTAAGGAAGATCTTACGGGGAGGGCAGACATGGAGGAGCTGGAGAAGCTCAGTGCAATGGAGTGCCATTCACTGGGGCTCCGGCAGCGCACGGCAGAGGGGCCATTACCAAGACTTCGTGGCACTTGATTGTCACTATGTTTTGAGTATCTCAGATGGGCGTGTAAGACCAGTGCTACCAATACCCAAAAGACCATGTTCTCATTTGTATAGCGAATGTCATGACAGGGGAATAACCCGTTCCATAGATTTTGAACATGAACTACAGTATCTTCCACGACTTTCTAATCGAACTGCCAACCTCTTCCCTTTGAAATTAACCGTGGATGTACATCATATAATCAAACAAGCTTTTTAAAAAGTACATCTTAATATAAATAGTTTATTCAGTGCATGGTTGTGTGTACAACAAATAATAAACAACTCTTTCGTACGAGGCAGAAAGCTGCCTGTACACAACTATGTCAGTTTTGGAGCACAGAATCCAACGATGATTAATGCACAAAATCTTACACATCATGCAACTCTATGCCAATATTCCAACTTTCTCCCATGCAACAGACATGATGACCTAAATGGAAACCTAACTACATTTTTTAAACAAGTGTTTCCAATAGCATGTATAAGTATATGTTGTTTAGGGGTAACCTGTCCTAACGCTTCCTCCTACACAATATTCACGTGCCCGTTACAGTGAAAGAAGGACTTTTACAAATAAGACGTTTCTTATAAAAAAATTAAGTCACCTTAATTCCACAGTTTCTGTCTTTAGAAAAGAAGCCACGACAATAGTTTAACATGACACACAAAATGGAATTAAGAGAAATCTACACTGGGGGATCATTTTATCCCTTTCTGTTAACTTCCACTTGGGATAACAAAACAACTCGATTCCTACAGACTGGGGTTAGCACAAGAACTTTACCAGAAACTACAAATCTATAAAAATTTATATTATTTTGTTGTGTTTAAAACCACAAGAACACTGTTTGCTTGAGCCTGAGACACCAACTCTCAGTTCCAACCCTGAATTTAGTATTAGTTGTTTTAAAGACAGAGCTTTAAAGACCCATTGGAGTTCAGAAATCAAAAAGTTGCACTATTCCAAATTAAAAGGTTACATTTTTGTCTTTATCAAGCCTTAGATATAAAACGGTAAGCCAAGGAAACAACAGAGTTTACATGTTTGTTTTTTCTTTGCCCCTATAAAACATACAAGCATTAAAATTTCCTTTGAAGAGCAAAAGTGGTCTTTTTTTTTTTTTCTGAGTTGGAAAGCAAATTCTTATCAGCAGTGAACGCTGTGAAATGTTTTTGTTTCGTATTCCACAAAGCATAGGAGAGAGAGAGAAAGAGAGAGAGAAAAAGAGACAGAGAGAAAGAGCTGGACATTTCTTCTCCGAGATTTATTCCGCAGTTATGTTTGTTGGCTATCCAACTGCCTGGTGATATGCACAAGCATATTCTACATTATTGGGGTATATCCTTTGACAACCAGTAGATCTAATGGCTGATAAACGAGTGACCTATGCAAGTTCGGTGGCTTGTCCTGGGCAATTGAATGGTTGGATGAAAGACTGCTAGTAAGAATTCAACTGCATCCAGAGGTAAGGTTCTGTTTAGAGAGCACTTGGCTTGCCTGAACCTGGCTACGTTGACTCGTTTTGGCTCATGGATTTACCCCCATTTAGCACTCCTGAAACACTTCTGCTCTTTGTTGGGGTCCCACTTCCAGATCTTGAGAACTCTGTGAGATCGTGGAGAGAAGGCTCTTTGTACATGGCCACTGCAAAGCAAAAGAAAGGCAGCACATCAGCACGTGGTATGGGCTGCTCAGTCTGCTGGTGCAAAGTCCAGCTGTGAAACACTGGAAGTTTTCCTTAGCTAATGTGCAATATAAAGAATGAATGGAAGAAACACAGCAAAGAGTCCTCTTCCATTTCAAACATTCCCCAAGAACCCAGCAAAGAGTCCTCTTCCATTTCTAACATTCCCCAAGAACCTCTGAGGTCCTCTTCAAGGGAATGACATTTTAGAGAAGGGAAAAAAGGCAGGTCCCTCCCTCTCCCAGTTAAATCACCCACCTACCCACAGCACTTCCAAAGCTCTGCAAGACAGACCTAAGCTGATATAAATCAGCATTTCCTTATTAATAGTGAAGTAGCACTGTCAACAGCTGTGATTTGACCTGCTATCTGTACACGTAGCCTAAGGAGGTGGGTGTAAAAATGGATTTTCAGTCTTCCATTTCCTGTTTTCGCACACATCAGAGATGAGGATCGACACTGACATCAGTTGCCTAACACATAGTCCTGAATGTAGACTACCAACCTACACAGGGCTGTGCATCTTTGAAATATCCCCTCTGATTTCAAAATGGCACTCCTTTAAAAGGCTACCTAAGAGCATAACCCAGAAGTAGAAGGGTCCATTCCTCTTTAAGGAAGGAGCATATGGAAAGTAGTTATTCTGGAGAAAAGGAGCACCTCCATATATTGACTGAGATCTCCCTCTTTGCGCTGACCAAAGAGGGAGCCAAATCTGCCCACAGTCCTGATTCAGATCCTTCAGTTAACTGGGATGACTGTATGTCCTAGCTTTTAATACACAGCAATATACATATGCCACATGCATTCTTACCTTTAATCACATACTGATGCCACATTAATTGCTGTTTAATAAGCACCACACATTAGAGCATTAAACCAATCAAACATAGACAAACAAACATCCTGTAACATAAAGCACAGGTTGACAAGCTATAGAGCAAGTCACTAATGGCCTGTAAGCACATGTCTGGGTCATTCTGGGCAGATCCTTCATTATCTTATAATGGAGACAGTGTGGACTTTGGCTACAAAGACAATACTATGTGTATTTGGTTAGACTAGAGAAATACAGAAGTAAGATAGAGAAACAACAAAAAAAATAGGCTCTGGTTAGATTCATGGTGTGTTACAGAGCATTATAAGTATATATGTAAGTAGCTGAACCCTTCAAATATGTCTGCACTGCAATTAAACTTCTCTGACACAAGATAACATCAGTATATATAGATGGGCCAAACCCAAGCCATTACCTTTTAATGGTTTTGGAAGGAAGTGTGCTGCAGGTTTATTTTTCTTCACGTGGTTTCCTTTCATGATTTCTCCTTCTTTGTTAAGACCCAAATACCAACCCCGGCCGGACTGTTGCTGTCTGTAGATCATTGAAGAGTATGTCACATAGTAGTTTTCAAATACCGATTCTTTGAACTTGCATTCAGGTGTAAAATGTTCCTGTAAGAAAGTAACAGATCAATATGTGCTGCATCTCACATTAGTTAATGAAAAAGCATCCAATATTCATTGCTTTCCCAACAGTTAAAAGACATACCTTTCATCCTCCACTATCCAATTACAGAGCATGGGCCTAAAAGTATTAACAAAAGAGTAACACAATTTGAAACCCGTGAAGTGGTGCTGTGAGCAGCTCAAAGTAGCATAATAAAGTCTTTTTGAACAACGAGTAAAAAGACTAAGTGAAGAATTATTGATTGATGCAACTAATAGATGTTAGGCAGAAACAGCCCTGATGCCAGCCCCAAAGGACCAGCTGTGGTCCAGCCCCATGGGTGAGAAGTAAGGCCACTTTGTAATGCCTTTGTGCATTAGTTGCTGGTCTTAACTGCTTCTGAGGAAAGTGCAATAAAAATTGAAAGCCAAGATGCCATGAGTAAATGGTCCTCTCTGTACTAACCCAGCAGTAGTAATTTAGCTTGTAGCAGCTACCTCTTTGGTCTAATCTATGTTCTTACTCAGCCCAGCATATCATCCACTGAAAGCTCAGCTGTCAGAGACCCACTGCACACATCAGCCTCTGCTCTGAGACTCTACCTATAGCAGCAAGCTTAAGTCTTCATGTTGAATTGCACTGCTTCTTTTGGGGAGATGCTATTGAGACAATAGTTGAAGAGCAATAAATCAGGAGAGAGCCTTTATCTTCCTGCCAGCGGTGTGACTGCCTCTCCCTGTTCAATGAATCAATACTTTCTGGTACTATTGCCCAAGTTCAGAAAGCGATACAGAAGTGAACTATGGGTCTTGGAGGGATCTAAGGCCAAAACACCAGTCCTGAAAGCATCACTGAGCTGCTTCCTAAAGGCCTCTGGGTGCTTCAGGGTTTTTAACATTACAAGCTCTGACAACAGCTCACCTATGGACCCCTAAAAGTCCATAAAACGTGAAGGAGGAAGGTCTGGTGATGCCAATGTTAGTATCACAGTCTTGCCTGCCATTGCACTGCACAGCAGCCAGCTGCTGGCTTTTTTTTCCTTGTGCTTAAAGTATCCTACAGCAGTGGGAAAGAAAGGAGGAAAAATACATGCTTGCATAATGACTGTCATTTTGAATTGAAAAAAAATCAAAGAAAATTAAATGTCTCAGGAGCTTAAGATGTTCTTATGTAGTTTCTCAAATATTTTTGTGTGAGAAATAGATGGTACTCAAAAAAAAATCCCCAAACCCACAATTGTACCTTTTCTGCACATCTTTTGCCATTTGCCTTCTGATAGGGAAAAAGCAAAACCCTCCCATCCTCTGAGCGGGATTTGCTTCAACAAAGAATGTGAAGCAAGCAATTCTCTTCTTTATTTCTTCAAGCTAATTGGCTGTTATTTAGTTAATTGACAATTGGTTTCAATTGCTGTCAAACAGGGACAGGCACAGCATTTTTGCATGAGTTCTAAATAAAAGCCTTCCATCACTGTTCCCTGCCCAGCGCTAGCCATGCTAACAAAGACTATTCCAAGTGCAGCATCCAATTAGCAGCAAAATGGAAAACTACAGTGCTCCCACTGGAAGATTATGGCTTGGGTACAGTAATTTGGAGCTGTTTTGGGTACAAAAGGCTTGCTTTGCACAGCGGCAGAGGGTCAGATTGCCAACAGACCCACAATATTTACTCTGGCTCTCTGAGGATGCAAGTTAACCTCAGTATGAGCAGCAGGAGCCATCGAGTCTCTTGAAACAAGGACAGAAACAGTGGGGAGACAGAAAGACAGACACTAGAAGACTCCTTCACCCCGATTTTGTCCCTTGGCCATGAGGCTTGTGATAACAAGCCATGGTGGAAGTGCTGTGAGTTTGCAGTTGAGCCCATGTACATCCAGACACCAGCCTGACAACCATGCCCCTTGAGCATCACAGCCAGCAGTCCTCTTCCTGGAGCATCCTGCAATTAAGCTATCATAGAATGGTTTGGATTGGAAAGTACCTGAAGGCTCATCCAGTTCCAACCCCATGCCTTTAGTTTAATCCAATGTGTTTCTTTCCTATGTAGAAGAGTCAGGGAGGAGAACTGCAGAGGGAAGCTCTGAAGGAGGAACACTAGCAAATGTGCTCCTGATCTGGGGGCATTACAGTTGAAATGTACTTTTCTGAGCTTGGTAAATCCATGTGGCAACCCAGCTGGGCACAGGCAGGACTTGTACCAGCACATCAGTTCAAAATGCAGTGCAGAGCAGCAATTGCAAGTTGGCCATTATGTTCTTTTTGCTAGCAAATTCTTTACTAATGTCTTGAGGAAAGGCAAGTTAGAGCTGGAGAGAGCTGAGTAACTCCAATTAAAACCGATCTAGTCAATCCTGTTGGGAATTTATAAATATGAATGAGTACTGAATTCTAAGGCCATTTTTCCCTGTCTTTCAGGTGTCCTCTTTGCCCATCTTCGCAATGAAACTAATTTGAATAAATTCTGAGAAGTCCAATGGCATGAATACACCGTTACACAAAGCAGCTGAAAAATAAGTATTTGTGTGAAATAGTATTTCAGTCACAGAAGTCAAGGGTGATGGCACCAACACGACAGTAAATTGCACTTACCCAAGCCCCTCACGCATGCACCCTTCACATGAATGGATGAGTGAATGGATGAATAAATAAAAGTCAAACAAAGAGCTGGGTTCACTGTAGTCATGAGTCAGCCAGGCTTAAGTAAGGAAGAAGAACTGTCAGATTTTGAGCTGATCAGCTGAACTGATGAAATATTCCATCATGGAATATCTGCAGCTGCATTAAAGATGCGAAAAACGAATTGAAAAGAATAATTTGGTGTATGAGACAATGGTAAAAGGCCTTGTGCATACACTTAAAGTGCTTGTATTCTAGTATGACTAGATTGTATCTAAACTAATCTAGTCTTTTCCATACAAATCCTGCCTTACAGGTATGCGAAGGCTGAACGGCACAATACTGGGAAGTGAAGCTGGAATCCTTCCTGCTCTAATTTGTGTGCAGGGGACATCACTACATACTTTACTGAGTAGTAAGTCAGTCATTAGGTCAGTACTGAGGTTGCTAAATGTTTATGTATCAGCATAGGCTGAATATCCTGCAGCTACCCTACAGCAGTGGATAGGAACGATCAGAAGCTTTATTGAGATGGTTTTAGTGCTAAGGGAACGAAGAAACAACAAGAAAAAGTAACTTTGAAAAGTATTCAGGTACTTGGGAAACTTGGGAAATGTTCTTATATATTGAGCCTATAATTGTGTTCCATGAGATCAATGACTACGTCTGTGTATGGCATTTATTTCCTTCACTTAATGAAAACTGGATTTTTTCCCCTCCATATCCTGATTTCTTTCAGGTCTATAATGTAGCCCAGGATTCCATTCTATGTTCATGAATTTTTGAAGGAGCCTCTTTAAGACTCCAGAGCAGTGATTTTCTGCACCACTGAGCCTGCCTTTTTTTATTAGCAGAGATTGATTTTCTCCATCTTGGCATGTGAAGTTCCAGGGTGTATCCTCTGGATCATCACCCTGTAATGTGCAGGGATATCAACAGCACAAGATGTGAATACATCAACTTTAATGTTATCAGAAATAACAGCTTTTAGATCACCAGTCCCAGAAGACTCTCTGAAGAAACTGGTGTTTCATGAAGCCACCAAAAGCTGTTTCCTATAGTGAAGGAAACTCGTTATCCTGAAGCAATTTCTTTTGGATCAGATCTATTACAGTTCCCACAGATAGGTTCCAATCCCATTTTGCCCATTTTGCTTAAATTTACCTATTTTGAGGAATCCTAGTGATGGCAGATAACATATGAATATATTTGACACCGTCCCATATGACATCTTGACTCTAAACTGAAAGAGGGTGCTGAGGCACTGGCACAGGGTGCCCAGAGAAGCTGTGGCTGCCCCATCCCTGGCAGTGTTATGCCAGTACAGTGAGGACTTTTGTTTTGGCTATGACTATTCCAGGTGTGTTCTCACAAAGACATTGTAGGTAGCCCAAAGCCCTCAGGAGATGCTGTAAAGTTGAACTAACTGCTGCTAGGACAAAAACCCTACTGCTGAACAGCGATATGTGGAAGGCTGTAATTCCCCTTGGGTTCATTTCAATCTGAAGGCATGTGTACCAGCCATGTGACCACGGAAATAAGAAACATAAAAAATGATATAGAAAAGGTACACTAAATTCTTTCAACAGGAAACCTATTTACTGCCAGGAGTCATAGGAAGGCACGGTTTTCCTGGAAGGTGATCCCAAACAACATAGCATGGGATGGTCTGGGATAGTGCAATAAGCAGGAGTTGCTCAAGTGAAACACAAACTATCAGTGGTGTGTAAATTTAGCTAGGACAAAGCTTTCAGAAAGAGTATAATGGAGCCCAAGGAAGCAGCTGGATATCCAGCATCTCCAGAGTAAGATTTCAGGTATCCTCTGAAGCTATGAGAAAAGCACTGAAAAGATCCTGTAATTATTCCCTTTACATTGTTCCAGTGTGCAGCAAAGCAAATGCACAAACTAGGGGGAAAATGCACATGGTGAACTGAAGCAGAAAACATACTCATTATGCAGAGATTCCAAGGTTGGAGTTGTGTTTGTTACGGTTTTACCAGCCTTAGCAGTGACTCAGTTGTGAAAACTTGTCCAAGTCATCTTTGCTCAGGTTTTTAAGTGGCATTTAGGCACCCCAGTTACTACCTATTTCGAGCTTGGTGCATCACCTCTCAGTATGCTCTGCCCATGGAAAGGATGTATTGCCCAATGACCCCAGGGAAGACTCAGGACTGTAAACAATGCTCAGTTTAACTGAGATAGGAACGATGCGTGATCATATTATTGTTCCCTTTTGGTGATGCTTCACTTCTATGACTACATCAATTAACCAAAGCACTCCTTAACTGGGGCAAGAGAGCTAACGCAGGATACATACAGAAGGAAGACACTCTCCTGATGACTGCAGAAGAAATGAAATGTGTTAGAGAAAGCCAGTAATGGGGTTT